TGGCGGTTTAAAATCGCCGAAACTTTAATTATTTTGTGGCGGTTAAAAACACCACCAGAATTAATTATAACATTTTGTAGCGATTTATTAAAATCGCTGAAAAGAAATCGCCACTAATTAACTAATTTTTTGTAGTGATATATTATAAATATGGATCAAAATAAATAAGAAATTTTTTAAAAATTCATATACTCTAATTAAAAAAATATATCTAAAAATCTAATCGTAAAAAAAACCTCTAAATATTTTTTTCACATAAATAACTATTGGTATTAATTATGTAGGAGTGCATATAAATATTTTTTTTTATTATAAATTAATGTCTTCCTCTTACAAAAAAAATGAGATTCATACTCAACAATAATATTATCATCACTTTTAAGCAATTTATAAACTTTTTTAAGTTTTATTTAGCAACAGAATAGAATTTCGTTGCTAATTTTAACTAATCTTTAGCGATTGAATTAAATTCTGTCGCTAATTTTAATTAATATTTAGTGACTGAATTCAATTTTGTCATTATTTTTAACTAATATTTAGCAATCAAATTGATTTTTGTCGCTAAAACAATCAAAATTTCTTATTTAGCGACCGAATTCAATTTCGTCGCTAAAAAATAAAAAATTTCTTATTTAGTGATCGAATTCAATTCCATCGTTAAATTTAACTAATATTTAGTGACCAAATTCAATTTTATTGCTAATTCTAACTAATATTTAGCGACAGAATTCAATTTCGTCGCTAATTTTAACTAATCTTTAGCGATCGAATTAAATTCCATCGCTAATTTTAACTAATATTTAGCGATTGAATTCAATTTCATCGCTATTTTTAACTAATATTTAGCAACTGAATAGAATTCTGTCACTAATTTTAACTAATATTTAGCGACCGAATTGAATTTCGACTCTAAAAAAATTAAAATTTCTTATTTAGCGACCGAATTCAATTTCGTCACAACTTTTAACTAATATTTAGCGACCGAATTCAATTCCATCGCTAATTTTAACTAATATTTAGCGACCGAATTCAATTTCGTCGCTAAAAAATCAATATTTCTTCTTTGGCGAATAATTCAATTTCGTCGCTAAATTTAACTAATATTTAGCAACCGAATTCAATTCTGGCGGTAATGTTAACTAATATTTAGCGATTGAATTCAATTTCATCGCTAATTCTAACTAATATTTAGCGATCAAATTCAATTTCGTCGCTAATTTTAACTAATATTTAGCGACCAAATTCAATTTCATCGCTAAAAAAATCAAAATTTCTTATTTAGCGACCGAATTTAAGTCAGTCGCAACATTTTTTACAATTTAGTAGCTAGCGACCAATTTTCTATCAACAACTTATTTTGATCGTTAAATCAGTCGCTATTTTGGTTGCTAATTTCGGTCGCTATTTTGCAATTTTCTAGTAGTGTTGATACCCATATGAAACAAACAAATATTCAATGATTTTTGCTCCATTTACTGGAGTAAACCACCATAGGTGATGTATTACATTTGGTGTGGCCTTTTTAGCGGATGAGAAGGTTGAATCATTCATTTGGTTGCGTGAAAAGTTTTTAGAAGCAATGGGGGGCATATATCAAATCTTTTAATTACTGATCAAGATCCTGCCATGAAAATTGTTGTAGAAAAGATTTTTAATTCTTCTTCTCATAGATTTTGTATGTGGCACATTATGAAGAAAGTTTTTGAAACAGTAGGTGTGTCATTGAATGCTAATAAGGAGTTCAATAGTGATTTCAAGTGTTTGGAGATCGGAGTCACTAGATGACTTTGAAGAAACATGGAAATCTATAATAATTATGTTTAAATTAGAAAAGAATGATTGGCTCTCACACATGTATGATATTCGAAGCATGTGGATCCCAACTTACTTTAAGGACATTTTTTTAGCTGGGGTATTGAGAACAACCTCAAGATCAGAAAGTGAGAATTCCTTTTACGGTAACTTTTCTGAATCCTCATGTTAGCTTGGTTGAATTTTGGATAATGTTTGATTCTGCAATAGAAGCACAGAGGCAGAAGGAAATACTTGATGTGACACCCTTACTACCCGAACATATATTTAAATAAATCTTGTAATTAACTAAAGAATAAAATATTCAACAATGGTAAAAAGGGTTCACATAAAACCTTCACAAATAACCAAAATAATTAAAAAATAAAGTTTAAAAAGTAAAACTTGAGAGTTTACAAATTATTTTCAAAAGAGAAGGTATAACTCTAAATACATATAAGAATTTATCCTAGAATCCTCTGCCCCGATGTCACAATATCAGAGCACACCCATAGCTCAATGGTTGGCATTCTAGATGCCACTTAAAGCCGGATCTTCCTCACCTAAAACATCCACAAATTACACGGTGAAAAAAGAAAACATCTATATGGAAAGCACACAAGAGAAAACACAATCCATCATAACTCCTTACTGAATGAAATATTCACAAGCATTTATATATATCATAATTTATCAATCATTCATCATATTTACATCTCAATTACATCAATCCATAACAATCCACACAATTCTTACAATTAACACTATGCCAAGGCCACGCCACAACTGACATAAGTGATACGGGTTAATTACCTCACTCATCCCACACCACGCCAGGGTCACGCCCTCCCTGTAGCATCACTAACCCAGGGGTCGTGCCATCCTTGGTCATTGATGTGAGGAACCACAATCACATCACAATCCACACAATCTCTTGCAATTAACCCTATGTCAGGGCTGCCATATTTGACATAAGTGATACGTGTCAATTGTCTCACTCATCCCACTCCATGCCAGGGTCATGCCCTCCCTGTAGCATCACTTACCCAGGGGCCATGCCATCCCTGGTCATTAGTGTGAGGTACCACAGTCACAATCATAACCATATCCACACAACATCTCATCTCATATCACAATTCCATATCTCATATCACAATTCCATATCTCATACACAATTCCATATCACATACACAACAGATAAGTCCAACAAATTAAGGGTTTACACACCCCTCAAGCAATTCACATCTAGATCATCAATTCTTATCAATTAATACAATGATAACATTCATAAATTAATATAATAATCAATGGAATTATAAATTTAATATAATTTTAACGTAAATAGTAAAACCCCCAATTATTTCAAAACCTAACTCACAGACACTTTTCTACAATTTCGTTCTCTCTCCTAGATCATCGTTCTTACAAATTAAATATATATTCTTAATCCTCAACACATATAGAATCTAATGGGATCATTAATTCCTCAAACATTTTTTCCAAAACCTAGCTTACAGGCACTTTTCTATAATTTCGTTCTCTCTCAGAGCATCATTTTTACAAATTAATCATATATTCATAGTCCTAAATACATACAAAATCACATAAAATCAATAATTCTCTAAACAGAAATAATCATAAAATTATTCATAATCCTTCGAGCTTCCTCTTCTACCCAATTCCCTCATGTAACTTTGCATACAAATAATCCCCTTTTTCTCTCGTACCTAGATAAACAGCAGTTGAACTAAAACAGGAATCTCTTGGTCTCCTCCTCTAAATGTCCCTTGGTCTTCAGAGAGAAGAAGAGGAAAAGAAGAGAGAACAGAATAGAATAAGAAGAGAGAATGTGAGATCTGTGAAAAAGAGAGGTGAGGGGCGCTATTTATAGGAGTTCAGGCTCACCTATCGGAACGGCCCGTTCCAAAAGTGGAACGGCCGTTTTGGACCCTTCAAAACTACGCAAAATTCTCAACTAGAACAGCCCGTTCCAAAACCAGAATGGCCCGTTCTCAATCTCAGTAGAACGGCCCGTTCTCCCACTAGAACGACCCGTTCTCCAAACCAGAACGACTCGTTCTCCAAACCAGAAAGACCCGTTCTGCTTCTCCAATTTTGGGCATTTCTCTTATTTCGGAACAACCCATTTCACATTTGAAATGGCCCGTTTCGGGTAATCAATTGGGCCTCTGGCCCAGCGATTTTGGGCTGTTACACTTGATGATAATGATTCACTTCATTCTATGTGACATTGAAGTTGGATTCTGATTTGGAGAAGCATGGAAGAAATGTTTATACTCATGAGAATTTTTATATATTTCAAAATGGGTTATGGATTGCATTTTTAGATTGTCGAGTTGAAAATAAGAAAGAGGAAGATGGAAAAGAAATATTGCAGGTAATTGATAATAGCCAGATCAATGGTAAAATATGAGAAGTGGTTTATAATCCTTCAGATCACAATGCAGATTGTTCATGCAACATGTTCAAATCTCATGGAATACAATGTAGACACATACTTTGTGTTATAAAAGGGAAGGGTTTAAATGAAATACCAAGTAATTATATTGTGAATAGGTGGACTAAGTTGGCAAATAGAAAACCTATTTTTGATATTGTTGATAATGTCTTGGAAAGGTGTTCTAAACCAAAAAGTGAAAGCAAGCTCATCTCAGATGCGTGGGAAAACTTTTTAAAGCGCATGGACAAAGCTGGACAAAGTAAAGAAAAATTGTTTGTAGTGATAAATGGAACCATGGATATTGAAAAACAATTGGTTGATGTTGAAGGGGATTCTAAATAAACTAAAATAGATGACTTACATGCCTTTACTGGATCCAATATTCCTAAAGAAATTTTTTGCAAAGATTAAAACCTTAGGTATCTGTATATTCGATTTCAGCTTTTGATTTTGATTCTCTTGTGTCATTCTTTTGTGCCAATTTTGGAGGTCTTATTGCACTTCTATTAGTATCGAATGACATTAGATGTCGTTCTTGATCACAGTTAGAAATTTCATGATTTAGGCTCAATGTCTTGTTGGTTGGACCAAGATTATGTTGCAGTGTCTTATCTTGCATGCCTGGCTACAAAATCTTTTTCGGATGGAAAGTATCAGCAAATGAAAATTTCTTCATTTCACCACTATCATCACCTTATGATTTTAACAGCAAAGAGAAAACAAGATGAAAGAAATAGTGAGCATTGATACCTTGGATGAAATTATTGGACACATTTATTTATTTAAAGTCACGTATGATCCAAACTTCCTTTCACTACAAAAGAAAAATCTATCTACTGTCAGTTTCTTGTTAAAATTCATCCTATTGGTAAGTTCATAGGGACAAACAACATATGATTGACATGGCTTTTTTCTTAGTTATAATATAGAGAAACCTTCATTCTCAGAAATAATTTCCAATGATACTAACAAATATTCAAGAAAATGAGACTCTCCTATTTGGAAGAAAAAGTAGTCTCTAAAGTGAGAAACCATTATAATATAGTTATCCTTGTAATTCTTTCAAGAATGAGTGGCAAATATATGCTAAAGTAGTAAATGTTGTTTGTGCTGCAGAAAAAGGTAGGTTGGCCTATGTGATAGGAATTTGAATTTCTCGACTACACCATCTCATTGTCATTGATAATCTCTTTCATTTTAAACCTTAGTAAAATTAGCATTCATAGAATCAAGATTTGAATGAGGCAAAAGGAGAATTCCCAGATAGGAATTACCAAGTAATCAAGTGAGAAAAATATTGTGCTGTAGAATATTTTTCCCCTTTATTTTGAATAGTTAAATATAAGCCAAAACTTAGCAACGCATAGTTTTTTTATAAAAAAAAACTTTAATTCTTTAAAATTAAAAAATAAGTGTTTTAAAAAATACTTTTAAGAGGAAAATATGAGTTATTTAAAAAAAGTTTAAATAAACACAAAAAAGTACTTATTTTATTACAAATTTAAAAGAAAATTAAGCAAATGAACCCAATATTTTTTGCCTTAGTCATATGAATGTGCATGCAGAACCTATTAACTTTTAAAAGAGCATAGTAGTCTTAGTAGATTGACCGTAGTTAACTTCTTATAAGTATTTAACTTTTAAAAATTATCTTTCTTAATTTATATTGATGATATTTTGAATAAGCTTTGGGAAGTTTGGTGCTTAAGATTTCCAACAATGAAAGAGCATAGTCTTAGTAGATTGACTGGTAGTTAACTTTAAGAAGTATTCTTAAATTTAAAAGAAACATTCCAATTCAACATATCACTATCATGAACACTGAATATGGTTGGTTATATAGTGAGTATGTGAACAAACTCTTTTTCATAAATTTGAAACAATACTAGAGTGTTTGATTTACAAAATAAATTTGAACCAATACTAGAGTGTATATCTCCTTCCTTGCAATAATAAAATTTCTAGAAGTACCAAACTCTTGGCAAATATTACTAATTATAAACCACAGGTGCACAAAAGTGTAGTGAATGATTGATTATAAGTAAAAGAAGGTGGGAAATATACTAACCTGGTACCCTGTTGACACAAGCTGCAAGCTTCTCTTAGACAATGCTTTCAGCCAAGTTCTTACCTGCACAACACCAACATCCGTGAAAATGAAAGAAAGAAAAATTAAAAAATAAAGAAACCGAACATGTTCAAAGGCAATCCTAGAACCTGCTTGCATTCTGATGGCAGACTTGGTGTAGACACCCAATTTGGATTTGAAACAGAGACAATTGAATTGAATTGAATCGAGAGAAATTTATAAAAAGTGAGTTATGTGGATGGTGTAGCGAGTACCAAAAAAGAGATTGAACGCACCCCATTTTGAGGGCAAAGGAATATAACGGTGTATAAAGATTTGAGAGTCCCAAACTGAGAATGCAAAATGCACAGGCTGTGAGAAGATGACGTCGTAGCATGGAGGAAGAGAGAAAGGGCCAAGTAGAGATGGAGCCGAGTGTGGTAGAGATTTGAGAGTCCCAAACTGAGAATGTAAAAAGCACTAGCTACGGGAAGACGACATTGATGGAGCCGAGTGTGGTAGCCATATTGGGAAGTGGGGGTTCGAATATCATATTTGCTGCTGCGCGTCTACGAGCACAAAAGAGAAGAGAAGAGAAGAACGTGAATGCAATATCTAATATTTTAACATGGACAATAATTAGTTTTAATCTGATTCGTTAAATTAATCTAAAGGTTATATTTTAATCATCTCATCTCTCACAATAAAATGTCCTCTCATATAATACGCTCCCTATATATATATATATATATATATAGGAGGGTTCAAACGACACTAATGTAATTTTTACTAAGTATTACACCGCTCAATAACTTTATATTAAATGTGAATTTTATAAATCCAACTGTTAAATTAAAAGTTTTTACTCTTAGATCATATATATAAAATTTTATATTAATCGAAGATGATTTGATATTTCATTTTTATACTCTTAGATCATATATATATAATTTTATAAAATTTACATAATATATACATTTCAAAATATAATAAAATATGAACACTATGATTATCTTTAAGTTGTTCAAATTTTAGAAAAATTTGACATAAACATATAAAGTCATATGAACTTTCAATCTAACTGTTGGATTTACAAAATTCACATTTAATATAAAGTTATTGAACGGTGTAATACTTAATAAAAGTTACCGGTGTAACTTTTACTAAGTATTACACCGCTTAATAACTTTATATTAAATACGAATTTTGTAAATTCAACCATTAGATTAAATGTTCTTTACTCTTAGATCATATATACAAAATTTTATATTAATTCAAGATGATTTGATACTTTATTCTTATAAAAACAAAATTGACGTAATATACACATTTCAAAATATACTAAAATATGAACATTTTAATTACCTTCAGATTGTTCAATTTTAACAAAATTTGCTATAAACATATAAAGTGATATAAACTTTCAATATATCGGTTACAAATTCATATTTAATATAAAGTTATTGAGCGGTGTAATACTTAATAAAAATTATACCGGTGTTATTATAATTCTCTTATATATATAAAAGAGGGATTCGTTTACTCAAAGAGTAAGTTTAGCTAGATTTACTCCGTTCAATAACTCATGTTTTATATCAAATCTCAACAATTCAACTGTTAAATTTAAAGTTTTTAATGTATAAATCTAATCTGCAAATTTTTAAAAAATTTGAAAATTATTTGATACTTATTTTTATTAATTCAAATCAACGTATAAAATATTTTTATAATTATCCGTAAATTTGAATTAATGAAACGAAGTATTAAATAATTTTCAATTTTTTTAAAAATTTTGTAGATTTGATATGTGCGTTAAGAGCTTTAAATTCAACGATTGAATTGTTAAAATTTGTTATAGAGCATGAGTTATTGAACGGAGTACTGTATTGGTTTAGGATTTCACAAGATTTTAAAAGACTTTTTGGAGTAAAAAAGTTTGTTGGTATTTAATCAAGATTTTGTCACTTAAAAACAATTTAGTAGTATTCAATATGGATTTTCAAGATTGTTTAAAGAGTCCATTAAAATTTATTGGTATTCATTGAGACTTTTTACAACTTAAAAATAATCCATTGGTATTCAAAAATATAAGGATTTTAAATAATTGTTGTATTAGAAAGATTTTGAAGGACATTTTAGTGGTATCTATAAAGAGTTAATCGCCTATACACTGTCAGTGTAAAGTTTTTTTTTACACTGGCAACCAATCATATCTTTTAACAATGTCATGTCATATGCTTATTTAATGAAATAAGAATATAATAAAATAATTTAAAAGATATGATTGATTGTCAGTGTAAAAAACTTTACACTAGCAGTGTATGAATGATTAACTCATCTATAAATACCAAATTCATAAAACAATCTCATCCAAATCCATCAGATTTTGAAGGATTGTTTAAAGTGATTTTCATCTTTTTTTTTCTATGCTCATGTCCTCTCCATTTTTTTCTCTACTAATAATATTGCACTACTGCTCATATATAATAATGTACTACTATTCCCGTTTTATTCCCTTATTTAGTGAAACTCTTGTACGTAAATGATAGTGTCATTGACTTGTTCTATTTTCTCTCTGTTCTTTTTAATTATCTTACTCTATTTTATTCTATTTAGTTGAGTTCTTCAGATTTTGTAGACGATGACTAGGACCAACGAGCAGATAGCCCGTGCCATAGAGATGATGGCCATGGCTATGCAACAACAAAATGCCTATTTTGCTAGGATGGAGGCTGAGAGAGCTGCAGCTGGTGCAGCAAGACCTACGAAGACATGGTTTCTTTCTGGGTACGTATAGATTCAAGGGAGTTCAATCTTAAAACCTAATTGTGGTTCTCCACTTAGACAGAAAGATAAGTTCAATAAACCTTAAGCAACAGACAACATAACGTCAAATTCATAATCATTTTGTTTCCCCAAAAGGGAAAAAAAAAAAAAAAAAGATGAACTTCTAATAAGCCACCTTTTTCAAAAGACAAAGTTCAATTATTCTTTATGTTTTGGGTTTACCGAATTAAAATTTAGGGTTTTTTTAATCACACATTAATTCATGCTTCGTATATTTCTTAATTGTTATATAGCATTTGTCCAAAGAATACCTAGACAAGGCTTGTGGGCAAAAGTGAAATTTCATATTGAATGCATATTGTTGGTAGGTTTCTGGGTTCATGTGGTTTGAATTCATTCATTTAGGTTATGAAGCTTAAAAACTATATAAAGTAGGTTCAGCTTTTAACAAGAAAAACTGCAGTTGCAGTGTCCTGAGATGAACCTCTCAATTATTTTGGCGAAAATCCCAATTTATTCTAGATATTGCTTGGTTTTGAAGGAAAATCTGCAGGCTCTTGACCTTTCACACACTGCGACACACAGCACAGCCTTTTCAAGGCTTATTGTTCTTAAAAGCACTCAATTATGTACCAACTAACACTGTTACAACTTCAGTTGAGTTATTAAGAAATCTGTAAGAAACAAAATTGATTAATTATTTATTTTTCCTTCTTCTTTTTACATCTTTCTATGTAAAGACTTAACTAGGGTTTACCCTCGACTCTTTTAAAAACTAACCTCTACCCATTTTTACTATTGTATCATTGTTGGTCATGCCCCCGTACATTTGAAGGGGAAATCTTAGGATCAATCCTTCAGAAGGAACAATAATTGTCTATTAGGGTTTTTCTTGTTTGGCAGGCTAAAAAAAAAGTACTCTTCATATTTAAATACCTACGCAAGACAACAATATTAGGAAAGGATGGAGACTATATAATAGTGTGCCAAATTATTCAAGTCCGGGGCACTTAAATTCTTGGTGATTTATAACACACGTTGATCAATTAGGACACATGTATCTGCATCTTATTGGAGAGGCACATGCACCTTAATGAAGTAATAAACACACACAATTAGGTTAATAAACCTAATTTAGATAATTTTGTTACAGAATAATGAAAGTCAGATCTTTCCAAGTTGTGCCGTGCAAATCTCACTGCCATCTGCATGTGGTCCCTCTTTCTATGAGTTGAGTGGATGCTTTTTAAGAACCTAAATTGGTCCCTCATCTATAGCGCAGCTACCTATGATCTATTATCTAATCCAACTGATCACACTCAAATATCATACACCACATCTTTTGAAACTCATTATGACTCCTCTAGTTTAATTTCTGTTTCTGTTTCTTTTATGTAACTGCCTGCAAATTTTGATCTTTATTTTCTTAATTAACATTTAAGAATATTTGATATGGGAATAGTTCTAGGACAATATAACAAACCAAAAGGATTTCATTCTTATAAATATTCTTGTGTTTCACTCTTTCAAAGATATTGCTTTTATACTATCAGAAATGCATTAGTTCTTTAGATGATGTTATGTGGAATTCTCTAGTTTCCTTTACAACAGTGCGAATTTCTTGATTATGATATATGTGGTTGCACAAAAATTATAAACCCTTGCTTTTTTATTTATTGTCCAATTTCTTAAATGAAAAATGAATTGTAGCTCAGATCTCTTTCTTTTTCCTTTTTATCTTTCTCCCTTTGGACCGGCAGTTCTTAATCCAATATTGAAGCTTGTGTCTGGTACGTCTTCCCACACATTGAATAATTATATTGACAACAGTTAATCATTAATTCAGTGATTGTTCAGTATGTGGTATAAACAAGGGTATTGATATATTAACATTTGCTATAGTCCAAACACTTGATTGATTCTTTTATTTTCTCTCTATTTATCTTCTTATTTAATCATATTAATTATTTATCACATTTATATTTTTCTCTCTTTTTCTAGTCTAGTATATATATGATAACAAGGTGTACATCTATTAATTTTGTATGAACAAACCGAGGAAGTTACCACTGCCAGTTTGATTGACGTGTCACTTTAAAAGGATGCCACGTGATCATGTATGACCACTTACTTTTTACATTTAAATGCAAGAAAGATGAATGCTGTAAAATTAAAACTTCAATCTCGTTCATAAAATTCTTAATTGTAGAGTGAATTATTATTCGCTTGAAGGAATACGTTGAAATCTAAGGTTGGGGTCATCTGTTCAAATAATTAACATTTAGGTGCTCATTTTGGAAAGACTTTAATTCTAGGGTATTTCTGTGATGATTTGTTGTGCTATTGATTGTTGTGTGGTTTAGTTGTTATTTACTAAAGAAGCTGTTACTTTTGTAGACGATGACTAGGACCAACGAGCAGATAGCCCGTGCCATAGAGATGATGGCCATGGCTATGCAACAACAAAATGCCTATTTTGCTAGGATGGAGGCTGAGAGAGCTGCAGCTGGTGTAGCAAGACCTGTAGGGTCACAAGAAAGCCGAGATCTTGCTGAGTTCCGGAAGTGTAATCCTCCACAGTTTGCAGGGGATGCAGATCCAGAGGTAGCTGATCGTTGGATCCGTGAGTTAGAGAAGATTTTTACTGTCCTGGGATGTCCTCCAGAGAGGATGTTAGCATATGCTGTGTATATGCTTGTTGGGGAGGCTGAACATTGGTGGAGAGGCACCTATCAGATGCTTGCCACTAGAGGAGTCACAGTTGATTGAGAGTGCTTCCGGAC